CTTCCTTTTCTCATTGCTACTCTCACGATTCTTCTCCCCCTCGGTCGTTAAGCCGCGTGTCATACACTTTGCGATTTATTTGTGCATATTGCCATTTTTCAGGATTTTCTATTTTGTTTTGTAGGAGAAGATGGGCCGATATTCGCATGAAGCTTCGAATCCGGGCAAGTCGTGTAAGGCGCGCGGCTCGAATCTTCGTGTACATTTTAAGGTAAGGAAATAATTAGTGATAAAGTGATAAACAAAGTGCCAGTGCGATCGTGTGTGAAGTTTAGGGGGTTTTTGAGCTTTTCGAGGGCTGTTATTTTAGGAGGGTTTGTCGTTGTACGAAGACGAAATTAACGAGTTGTGCTCGTTTGTGTCAGTGTACAGGCTAGTGTTTCAATATTATTCGACCTAACCTGCAAGTAGAGTTGAGGGATGGCGCACGTTTATGGTGATCGTGTGCTAATTAAGCGAGGCTTTTTCTTATTTTCCTGGCAAAATCAATTATTCTTACTCTTTGCCGAATTGCCTATTTCGTATTATTGGCTTTTGATAAACCGGGGAGATGTCCAAGTCTATATATAATAGCTTTCCATCATTCTCCTTATTTTTCCTCTTTCATGCTCGAAAGTTGTAATGATAGTTGGAGATGTACATTGCAGATGTTATTCTAACGCAATCAATTATTTTTAAATTCATTTTACAAATTATTATAGAAGTTTATTGTGAGACGAAAGTGTAAAATGAATGGTATTGTATTGACTGTGGAAAGTCTGTTGATACAGCTTATTGGGGTTGGGGGGGAGGGGTCCAGTGAAATTAAATGAATCTTTATTAATATTAATTTATCTAGTATTTTAAGATTAGTTAAATATTTTATTGTAATTTCCTTTGAAACGTTATTATATCATGAGAGTAAATTTTTGGAATTCAATTATAACCGTTTGTTTCTCTATTCAACAGTATATAAGTTTGTGGTGTAGTCGCATTGTACGCGCTGGTAATTATCGAACATAAGCGCAGCGTTGAATACCTTAATTTTTACTTATATTGTTTTTAATTATCCTTTTCAGAATACCCATGAAACGGCGAAAGCAATAAAGAATATGTCCCTCAGAAGGGCACAGAAGTATCTTAAAAACGTCATTGAATTCAAAGAATGCGTTCCTTTCAGAAGATTTAACGGTGGTGTAGGAAGATGTGCCCAAGCTAAGCAATTTGGCACAACGCAAGGTAATATTTTGCCTACTTATAGTTTTAATCTACCTGTTATGAAATTAAACAATTCAAATGTGGTTTTTTGTTTAATACTTCCGTATTTAAACGTACAATGTAAAAACATTTAATTTAATGTTTCCGAATACATCGTCGCTATTAAATATTTAATATATGAAATTGACTATACAACTTTGTTCAATCATTTATTATCGTTAATAATTTAATTATTTCAGGTCGATGGCCTAAAAAGTCGGCGGAATTTCTGCTTCAACTTTTAAAAAATGCAGAAAGTAATGCCGACTTCAGAGGTCTTGAAGTAGACAGACTTGTTATTGAACACATTCAAGTTAATCAGGCGCCTTGTTTACGTAGGAGAACTTACAGAGCTCATGGTCGTATTAACCGTAAGTAATTTCATAAAGCCTTGTTAAAGCAAGGTTAGTAATATTTATGTATTAAAGAAACAAAAACAAAATATATATATATACACGTGCATATGTGTGTGCGTGCTTGTGTGTATATTCATAATAAAACGTTGCTAAGTTGTTATTTGAAATAATTCTTTGTATTTTCATTAATTATCTAGATTAAAAGTATTATACAATAAGTCTCGCTTACTTTTTCGGTTATTATGCATAAGTAAGAATCTCTAAATAATAATAGAGTAAAGAATCAAGAATGTTATATTTGAATCAATGGCAAATTTTTATTATCCAAAGTTAACGTTATTGTACGAAAATATATAATGATTTTTAATAAAATTAATCACGATACTGGGAAATGGAGATCTGCATAAAGTACGTTTGCACATGCATTGATTGAATTATTTACGTTGTTAATTTTTTAACAAGTGCTTAACAAAATTAGAAGATCTTTTGCTAATAATAAAATCTTTGAAAAAATTCCGAATCATTTTACAATATAATAAAAATTTATGATTATTATAAAATAGTAAGAAATGATTCTCTTAACAACTTATATAATTTTCTTGATCATTGTAGAAATATGTTATTTTTTTGACACTGCAGCGATTCTAAAACTCGAATCGATTATTTTTAAATTAAAAATTCAAGAGACCTACTTTAATAATCTGTAAATCTTTTAGCGTACATGAGCTCGCCATGTCACATTGAAGTCATATTGACTGAGAAAGAAGATGTCGTTGCTAAAGCATCGGAGGAAGAGCCCTCCAAAAAGAAACTGAGTAAAAAGAAGCTCGCTCGTCAAAAGGAGAAGATGATGAGGGAATAATTTTTGAGGTGTACAATACGAGAGCTAATGTATTTGGGAATAATAAAATTTCTATTGTTCTCTAAGTCTGTTTCATTAATTATTTATTTATGCTAAATGACTTAATTCAACATTTTAAAAATAATCTTATCTTATTGTAATGGGAGAGAATATGTATTGAGAAATTTCGTGTCGTAATATTAATACTTACAGATTTCCTTAATTACTCGGATCAAATTAAAAATTCGTGCTCATTAGAGACGAGCTCGTCTTGGAAAATTTTATTTTATTTACAACTGTTAGTTCTTTGGTGTGATAAATTAAGGCAGTTCAACTGTGCATTTTTTTTTCTTTTGTTTTGTTTTTGTTTTGTTTTGTTTTTTTTTCGACTATAAAAGTCTTGATTGTTTTATTTTCAATTGAGTATTCTAAGAATGAGTACAAATTAGTGCAATTATACATATATTTGACTATTTTAAATGGGCAAGTTCGGCCCTTATTACGATCGTTATACTTTTATCTCTTTATTTTCTTAATTAAAAACATTAACATCTTACAAGGTACTTACAAATTTTCAACGATAACAAATATTTTACACTCTAGCAAATAAATTTAATGAGCTTGCAGATGTTGGGGACATCTGCGCGACGTTTGATTACAGTTTCTACGCGAGACTCGAATGTAACGTAATGCTTCGCTTTATTATTTAAAATTAACGATCTCGTATACGTAGCATATCGTGTGCATATGCCCGCTGCTTATGCCTTAAAATCTTTAATCTTTGTACGTGAAAGGAAATGCACTGAGGGTTCGACAATCGAAATTAATTAATGAAAAAGTATTGATAGAGACGAACGAATGACAACAACCTGCTGAATTACAATATATAATGAAATTCATCTTTGCAATTTATATTAAACACTTTTGTGCGCATGAACTTTAAATACAACGTGTACACGTACTCACATTGTACAGTTTCACAAGTGAATTATTAGGACAAAAATACGATATAACATAGTTTTATAAATCACATTACATACGCAATAGAGATGATATCACTAGGACGATTGAGCGGCTCATTACAACGATAATCGCGTTCTACAATAATAATAATAATAATAATAATCATAATCATAATAATAGTAATAATAAACAACAACAACAACAAAAATTTTTTTTTTTTTTCAAAATTAAAAAAGAAATAAAAGTATTCTATACAAATAATCTCTCTCTTGCTCACTACGTATCATCGTCATTCCACCAGCAAATCCTACATATCATATCATTTAATTTCGGTTTTACATTTTGCCTCCCTCGGACTACACATATTATATTATGGACAATTTAATGTACGCACTTTTAAAATAAAAATGAAAAGACTGCGTTTTTGTTTCACGAAGAGGGACGACATCTCGTCTGCATAGAAACATCGCACACACCCCTATTAATCGGTTGCCCTTGTCGTAACTCAAATCTTAGTCAATTATAAAAATCCTATGCTACTACAACAAATGGATAAATCGAATTGCAAATAGTTATTCTTTAATAATGTTTTTTCGTTAAAGGTATGCGGTTATTACCTGTCGCGACGTGTTTTGATGACTGTTTCAAACATTATCCTTGGACATCTTTAATCGTAAAGGAGTGTCGAGCAACGTCAACTCCAAAGTCGACTAACAATAACATAAATTACGTCTAAAGTAATTGAAAGGGTGCGTGTAGTTATCAAAAAAAAAAAAAAAAAAAAGAGAAAGAGAGAGAGAGAGATTAATTTTTATAATAAAATTTTTAAACTAATGTAAATTGTTATTTTTAATTTTAGAGCAACGAATTGTAATATTTTTTTATATTATCTCAACGATCCATCGATCATGCATGTCGTCGTGCCTCGCGTATAATCATTTATTTATTAATTTTTTTTTAATTTTTTTTTTTTTTTTTTTTTTTTTATTATTATTATTATTATTTATTATTTTATTTTTTTATTTTTTTTTTTTTAAGGAAGAGACAAGAAAGAGAAAAAAAGACACGCTTATGAAACAATTTTTAGTGAATTTTCATCCTCTCGGTTAGATCTTAAATTTACTGGTTTATTTCGTAGTCGAGTTTCTCGAAACAGGATGAGCCGAATTCAATAAAGGATTCTTGCGGCTGCCTTACTTACATATGTCTCGAGCCAACGCTGACGAAACAGTCCGTGGCCAAGAGATAACGATAAAAGCTGCGCGAAATAGTGAGAAATATCGTTCGCTGCGTTCGAATTTGTTGCATTAAAAACTATAAAAATATCGTAACTCGTTGCTCGTGCGCTCCGCGATCGCGGTAGAAGCTCGCCGAGTTTCATCGCATATGAGATTGGATATGGGACTTGTTCGACGTCATCCTGCTTCAACTTCTCTCGGCGCTGTCAAGAAAGTGGCTCGCGAGTTGTATTCGGTAAGAATAAGCTGAGCAGACCACCACCTGGAAAAACAAAAGATTAATTAACAGTGCCCTGTTAACGTAATTTTGAGAACGAGAGAATCTTCGTACAGCATCTTTGGCCTTGTCTTCGTTAGCAGACATTATTATTATCAGATTATTAAATGAAGCGAAGAAGCTTATTGCTACATCGTTACTATTTACCACTTTCATTTCTAAATAATTGCATTCGAACGGATTGCCAAGCATCGCTTCTTACAACTCGTTAATGGCAATGTCGGTAAGATTCTTATTAAACGAAATCTCGTTAGTATTGCAATACGCGGATAAGTGTGTGCGTGCGAATGGTTTAAAAATCATTAAAAAATAATAATAATTTATTTCATTCTTAAATTCATGCGTTCATACGCGCGAAACAAATGCAATCGATTATTGGTGATACTTATAGAATATTTATTTCATTTATTTCAAGCCAAAATAAAATAATAATAATCACGACGATATAAGTCAAAATATTATGATTTGAAACGTTTGCGGTAATAGTGACGTATCAAAGGACTTTAAACGTAATAGCGGCTGGGACAATAATCCAATCGCTTCCAACGTTTGGAATGTAATCGATCACCAAAAATAATTAACGTAGCGTTTAAATTACATTTACGTTGGCTAATCAAGTATGATAAATCAAAATTCTGCTTGATACAATAGACTTAATAGCCAATTATCTTGTAGTTATAGCGCCTATGAAAGACGAAGAGAACTCATCGTTTCCTACGCTGCTGATTGTGCTGTTATTCATTTAGTATGTAAAAGAAAAAGGAAACAAAAACAAAACAAAAAAGAAAGAAAAAAAAACAGCGTCTCCAAGTCTCGCCAGGTGAAATGGGGAGAGTGAAGTGCGATGATAATACGTAGGGGATAGCTCACCGATAAGTAGCGCGGCGACGATGAAAGTCGGCGCCGGGCAGTAGAGGTCGAGGAGCTGGGCTATGACGATGTTGCCGATGATGCCGCCGAGGCGGGCAGCTACCATGGATATGGCGATGCCGGTTGCCCGCAAATTCGTGGGAAAGACTTCGGTGATGAGGCAGTCGAGGGCCGCGTTGCCGCAGCTTATGACGCCGCTGAAGAACGCCGAGACTATCACATTGTGGTACTTGTTGTAGACGAAGTACAGGCCTATCGAGCAGGCGCCCGACGACAGTGTACTGAAAACTTTTGGTACAACCAACAGTAATTGGCAAGTTAATGACGTGAAAGAGGGTGAAATTTCGACGAATGCAATTGTATTTAGTTGTTACATTGGACCAGGGCGTCTATGCAACAAATGTGGATTATGATTGATTTGCTCTTAGTTAAGGAAATCATAGGGATGTCAAATTCGTGTGCATTCAGAGTGAGAGGAGCTTGATAAAGCGCAGATGGAGTTAGGTTGATAAGATAGGCTGCTCACCTAAGAAGAATTTGCGTCCGAGTCGATCCATACCGAGGACCGCGAGTATGTTGGCCGGTATGGCCGAGGCGACGGTAATGAGCGACTCCATGAAAACGGAGGCGCCAATCTTGTCCGAGCAGAAGTTCTCGTCGCTGTGCGAGCCCTTGCTGACGACGTAGTGGGTCACCTGGCAGACGCTCGCCGACTGGCCCGGGTGCTCGCGATGAAACTCGTCGAAGCGATTGAACAGTTCCGGGAACCACATCATTAGACCATAGTAGCCGATGTGGAAGGTGAAGTTTATGATGATGGAGATGACGGTGAAGCGGAGGATCGGCGAGACGAACAGCTGGCGGCTGTTGTCCATTATATCCCCGAGCATCACCTTGTATTTGCTCTTTTCCGGGGCGCCGGGCTTCACTGGCTCGTGGACTTGGAAGTCGTCGAGTATCAATTCCTTAACCTGATCACAAGAGCTTTTATGTAGAGTCGGCAAATGGTTTCGTATCATCGATTCCCAACGCTATCATTTAGTTTTCGTCATCTTGGAAGCGAGCGGCCACACCCGCGCGCTTTACCCTAATTGCGAAAGAATGATGTGGGAGCTTTGGTACTAACCGGATAGGTATCGCGAGGCTTGCCAGTGTTAGTGGCGTAAATACCGCGAAAGATGTCGAGTGCCTCGTCGTATCTTCCGCGGGAAAGTAGGTACTTGGGGGATTCGGGGAGCAGCAGTAACAGCCCCGCCACGATGAAGGAGGGAGCAGCGCATATCAG